CTTTCTAATGTTTCCTTCTTACATATTACTGTCTAATTCAGTTTAAAGAACTCCTATCATCATTTCTTATAGAATAAATCTAGTGAAAATCTATAATCTAATCATATTCTTATCTGGGAAGATTTTAATCTCTCCTTTCTAAGGAATAACTTTTCTGTGCACAGTATTCTTGTTAGTAAGTTTGATATTTTTGGTTGGTTTGTGTTTGTTTATTCCTTCAGTATTATGAAAATATCTCACCACTCTCTCTTGACTTATTAGGTTTTTGCTGAGAAGTCTGTCATCAGGAAATTTGGGACATGCTTATGTGTTATTCATGTCTTTTCTCTTGCAGCCTTAGAATATTTTTATTTTTTTCTTTGGAGTATTTCATTGCAAAATGTCTTGGTATAGAATTGGTTGAGTTAAATCTTACTGCTGATATGGACCTGTCTATGCTTAGATATTTGTATCCTTCTACAGGTTTGAAAATGTGTCTACTATTATCTCAGTGAATAAAGTTTCTACCTATTTGGCATTCTCAAGTCCCTCTTAAACCCAATAATCTAAATATTTGCTATTTTAATGCTATCCCCAAATTTTCATAGGTTTTCTTCATTCCTCTTCTTACTTTTAAAATTCTTAACCTCCAAAAATATGGTTTTTTAAAATTTTTTTTAGTTGTAGGTAAACACAATGTCTTTATTTTTATTTATTTATTTTTATGTGGTTCTGAGGATCGAACCCAGTGCCTCACAAGCACTAGGCAAGCACTCTACTACTGAACCACAACTCCAGCCCCAACAATATGTTTTAACATAGATTGACTTTGAGCTTACTCATCATTCTTTTTCTGATATTCTTTATCCTGATATGAATGTCTTCTAACATTTTAAATTTTGCATGGTATATTATTTACTTGTTTCTCTCTTAGAGGACTGAGGTTTTTTTCCTGCATTTTCTCTAATGTCTTGAGGCTTTTTAAACAGATAGGGATTGATTCCAGTGCCTTGTGTGTTCTAGTCAAACACTCAGCCACTGAGCTACATTCCAAGCTGCCTTGGTGCCTTGTTTTGACCATAAGGTGAAGTTATACTTTTCTGTAAGCTCTTGATGGTATGCAACATCATCTGGGCATTGATAGATTCAATATTTATTCCATTTTTTTCTAATCTATCTTTGTTTCTCTTGTTATAGGAATTTCTAAGCGGACTGCTTATTTTCTCCGAGTCTTTAGATACTTCCATTATTTTAACACTATGTGGCACCCTAAGAGTAAGTTTTCTGTGAGTGTACTCACAGAAAGACTCCATTACAAAAAGACTCCATGGCAAGAGTCCATTTAGTAGGACAAGGTAGTTAGCTCAGTAGGTTGCCTTGTATCTCAGGACAAGGATGGTGAAACCCAGTACTGGGCAAATCCTAATGACCTAAATTTCCATGCCAGTGCCCACAGATAAAATCTCTGAAAGAGTCCCAATGCCAAACAGATCTAGGTTAACTAGTCTAGTAAACTTATATTCTGGCCACCATCACTGGTGGCTGTTTGCAATAGTCTTGGTCCCTGAATTTACCTCAACAGTGGGCAGTGCATAGCAGTGTACGGCTTGGTCTTAAAACAAGAAATGAGCTGGACTTAGGACTTAGTGGGCTTATGGCTTAGGATGTGACATTGCTATGTGGAATTGGTGACCAATGGGATAGAAACCTAATCCTGGGTTCTCCAGAATGATTCTGTTTAGAGCCAGACAGAATTATACAGTGTCTATCTGTCTATCCACAAGTCAGCAACTATGGATACGGTATCTGTACTTAACCCAATCCCAAGAAAAGGCTTGGGAAGATGGATGACACTTTTTAGCTATTACTTCAGCTGATGCCAAACACATCTCTAGATATGGGACAAATCTGAAATCAGATCACCCTCTAGTCATAAAATAGTGAAAACACATCAAAAGTCCACTCACAAAAAACTTACTCTTAGGGTGCCATATAGTGTTAAAATAATGGAAGTATCTAAAGACTCAGAGAAAATAAACAGCCCATTTAGAATTTCTACAACAATAGAACAAAGATATATTAGGAAGAATGGAATAAATATTGAATCTATCAATGCTCAGATGATGTCACATACCATCAAGAGCTTACAGAAAAGCATAACTTCACCTTATGGTCAAAACAAGGCACCAAGGCAGCTTGGAATAGAGCTCAGTGGCTAAGTGTTTGACTAGAACACACAAGGCCCTGGAATCAATCCCTAATGTGCACAAACACACACAAAGACTCCATGGTCTTAAGATCATAGTGGTGGTGGTGAAAGGAATCCCTATGCTGTTGCAGAATTTGCACACAGTGAAACAGAGTTCAACAGGAAGCAGTCTTTATTTTGTGCCAGCACAGACTCAGCAGATTCTTGTCCAAAGGCCAAGCACTAAATGTTTCACCTTATATAGCTCCTACTAGTCTCCCTCTCCTGCCTCCCCCTCCCCCAACCCCCATAACATATTAGCCCCTTTGTCTCCTCGGTATGGAAAAAAAAATACATTTCATGTGGATATTCTATAGTATAAAATCAATAGGAAGTTATGACACAGCTGTGAAGGTGTACTGTGGGGCAGGGGTTGACAGGGTCACACATGTGTCCTGTCAGCGGAGTTGCACTTGCACACTCAATCTACCACATTGCCTCTCATTTGTCTGGGAAAATCATGTGTACATGATTACTGAAGGTGCCACGTTATCCAACAGGGTTGCACATATGTGTGTGCACAGATAGTACCCAAGCTGTGCCATCTTGTCTTTGTTTGAAGAGAGCTCCTACCACAATGCCACCAAGTCTAATGCCAAGTTTGGTCTCACCTGAAATGTGTAGCTGCAGGTAATTGCACCATACAGGGAAAGTACCTCGGGCTCATCCAAGACTGTCAATATCACAGGCCAAAACTTAAGTGTATTCCAATAATGTGCTTGTCTCTGCCTCATGTCGGGTCCTATTACATGCTCCATCTGCAAGTGTTGGCTGGGTGTGTGGTCTTTGGTTTCTACCTCATTTACAGTCTCTCTGTGGTGGGCTCAGCACTGAACTTTAAGACCAATTTCTATGTTAATTTTTGTATCAGGCTACCTGGCAGTTGGAGTCTTGTTCCCCACTATGTTACCTAGGGTAGAGGGGATGTGGTGAAAGCCATCAGTTTCCTGGTGATTACAATCCCCACAACTCAGTCTGAAGGTATTGTCCGGTGGAAGCAGTCATTGGCTCTGTATAGCATGGGTTTTTAACATGGTGAGCCTGGTATTGGATTTCAAATTTTAGTTCTGCATTAATTCCCTCCCTATACCCCAAGGCTCCATGCTGCTTACAGCTGGGGGAGGGGTGATGCTGTACTGGCATTGTTTTCTTTCCTGCTTTTCTCAATTTATCTTTTTATGTTCTATTATAGCAGGCACTATGATCTGTCACCTGGCTTCCTTAGGTTCTGTGTAGATAGTTTGATGAATGTATAGTTGTTTAAAATGTTGTATTGGTGGAAAGGTGATTACTGGAGGATCTTGGCCACCGTCTTGTTCTACCTCCACATTTTAAATGCTATTTAAAGAACTTCTACAGTTAAGAAAGAGATAGACAGTGTTATAGTCATCTGTTTTGGTGCTGCCACCAAAGGACCTGACAAGAACAATTTTAGAGGAAGAAAAATGTATTTGGTGCTCATGGTTTCAGAGGTCTCGGTCCATAGGTGGCCAGTTACATTTCTCTGGGCCCAAAGTAGGGCAGAATATAATGATGGAAGAGGGTGGAAAAGGAAAGCAGCACAGTTTATGGCAATGAAGAAGCAGAAAAAGTGCTCCATTCACTAGGAACAAAACATATGCCCCAAAGGCACACCCAGGTGACCTACTCTAGCTATACCACACCCTACCTTCCTACAGATACTGGCCAGTTAATCCATATCAATGGAGTAAGCCATTCTGTTACAATTTATAACCTAATCATTTTACCTCAGGACATTCTTGAATTGCCTCATACTTGAGCTTTTGGGGGACACCACATATCCAATTCATAACTTATGATACAGAGAAAAGTATAGCTATAAACTAGAATTTAAAATTAAATAATGATGTATAGTAGTGATTGTTAAATACTTAAATACATTTTAGTTGTTATATATATGATACATATATACACACTCATAAAATTAGTTTATTAGTTCCTTTTGTGTGTGTGTGTGTGTGTGTGTGTGTGTATGTGTGTGTGGTGCTGTGGATTGAACCCAGGGCCTTATGCATGCAAGCCAAGCACTCTACCAACTCAGCTCTATCCCCCATAAAATTAGTTGATAAATATGAAAATTGGGAGGTAAAGATCAAAAGAGGAGAGGCGAAAAAAAATATGAACTTTTGATCTATCATCTTGAGCTTCTTCTATAATTTTCCAAAGATTAATAAGTTATTTATGCATAGTTTCCTTGAAGCAAGTCTGCAATGAGGAATTTTATAGTCATGATTTATTAGGGTTCTGTTCTCAATAGTAATCATTGAGAGAATTAAGGAAGAAAGAGAAGAGAAAGGAGCTGCTGAAATGTGGTTTTGAGTAAAAATTAGGGTCTCTTTGATGCCCAGGGTGCTTTAGAATTTAAATGACAAGAGAGTTTGAGAGTTTGTCCTAATGCAAGATCAGGAAATTGGGAGTATGTTTACCTCCAAAACTCCAGTTTGTCATTGACTAGGGATTGCATGGTGCATGTACTGTATAATTCCTAATCACTGTTAGGAAGTTGAGTGGGATGGTTAATTTTATTGGTCACCCATTACTCTTTATGTAAACATGAGGAGGTTTCTGATGGAATTTACGTTTTCATTGGCAGACTGAGTGAAGTAGATTGCCTAGTGCCCATCTCAATATTGTAGAAAGTCTGACCTCCCATGATCAAGAATGAATTTCTCTTGCCTGATTGCCTTTGAGCTGGGACATATTTTATTTGTTTGTTTACATTTTAGTTTTATTGTTTCTTTTCTCCCTTCAGACTCCAACTGAAACATTGCTCTCCCTGGACCTTCAACCTGGACCTTGAACTTGGACTGAAACTGAAACCATTAACTCTCCAAGGACTCCAGATTACTGATTGCAGGTCCTGAGACATTTCAGCCTCTATAAAACCATTCTACTCCCTTTATATATTCTGGTTGATTCAGTTTCTCTGAGAAATTCTGTCTTGCAAAGTGAGAGAAAGCTTTCATAGCTCAAATGAAATCCTATAGAAAATACTGACCGATGTGAGGTCATTATGGTTTAGATGTGAGGTGACCCCCAAAAGCTCATGTGTGAGACCATGCAAGAAAGTTTAGAGGGGAAATGATTCGGTTATGAATCTTACCCATTCCATGATTTAATCCCCTGATAGGAATGAACTGAGTGGTAGGTAACTATAGGCTGGTGGGGTGTGGCTGGAGGCCATGGGTCATTGGAGGCATGAATCTGGGATGTATGTTATGTTTAGTGAGGAGGGCTTTTTCTCTCTTTTTCCTGGTGATGTCTTGAGCTGCTTTCCTCCACCACACTCTTCCTCCATGATGTTCAACCTCACCACAAGCCCCGAGGAATGAAGCTGGGTGTATATGGACTGAGACCTATGAAACTGTGAGCCCTAAAGAAACTTTTTCTACTTTAAAATTGTTCTTCTCAGGTCCTTTAGTCACAGCAGCAAAATAGCTGACGAGAACTGAGGTATTAACTAAAACACTTCCAGGAGACAGTAAAAAAAATTCCTAGAAACTATGACTGAGACACCAAAATGTGCAATAATAGGCATACTGCTTTTATTAGGTGATCCATGCCATATTAAGTTATCATTATAATTCCACAAAATTGCCTACTTACAAATAGCATTTCCATCCATTCTTTTCTTTCAATCAAGGCTCTAGATAATCCCTGTAAAGACTGAAATTTTTGAAGATGCAGTTATATTAACCTTAATTTTTCTTAAGTCATCATTATTTCCTAGGTATTTAAAGTCCATACATGACTCATTATCTATTCTAAAATAATTTTCAATCTCCTAAATTAACCTATATTTTATGTGTTCCTTAACATTTACTTTAAACAAAGTTCTTCCTTATGCTAAAGTATAGCAGTTAGAAGATCTATTTGAAGATCTAACATAAAACTTGAAAATGTCATAGAAAAGCCAAATAAGGACCAAGCTATTTTTGAAACAAATTTTGGAATAGTTTAGTACTAATATCTGAGAGTGTAAAACTCCCTTTGAAGATGAAACCTAGAATCAGTGTTTTGGGACTAGGAGTTTCTTAGAGAATAATGTATGCTATACAGTTTCCATACAAGTAAACTGAGGGAGATTATGAAGTCAGTTGAAGAATATAGGATGTATGTGGGAAAAAAAAAAGTCTTATTTTACATTTTTAAGTGTTAACACCTTGATCAGCAATTATTTTCAGTTGGAACTTTGTATAAAGCCATTTATATACAATACATTTTTAATGTTGAAATCTTTTTCCTCATGGCTTTAAATTCAACTCAGAAAATGCCTAAGATGCAATTTTCCAGTAAATGTTTTATTAAAAGGAATGCATTCTTTATGGAGAGCAGATCACTAGACAAAATATAGCAAAGATTTTTAGAATAGTTTATCATTAGACATCTTTGGAAAAAAGTAACAATGACTGTGGCAATAACATACGCATATTAGCAGACTTTAATTTCCCAATAATCCTATGTGAGGCCAATATTTCTATTACCCTATTTTACAAATGAGGAAACTGTGAAAGTTAAACCCAGTCACTCTGTCTAACAAATTAATCTTCTCAACCACTCTATTCCTTTGCAGAACAAACATATTCTGAATTACTATTTAAAGCACTTGGATACACATTTAATAATTTGCATACCTTTCTAAAGGGGTTTATTGGAATTAAAAATTATTTTACTCCTTTTCTTGCTTATTCTATGAACATAAAATAGTGGACAGTGGTTAAGGTAAGGTAGTGATCAAATGGGAAATTATGTGCTTTAGTTCAACTCTTGAACATTGAATGTAGTTTGCTCTTCAGTAAGAAGATAATTGGTCTTGATCCATTGACAAAGGGTACAATGGTAGGGTTGATTATGCAGCAAATGAAGGTTTACATAGGCTAGAATCCTCATTCTTATGAGAAAGTGCAATGACACAAAAGTCAGGGGCCTGTGGTTTAATTTATGCTTTATCAGTAGCTACTTGGCTTTAGACAGGTCATTTAATTCTATGAGAATCATTTTCCTCTCCTTTAAACTGAGGCAATTGAAATTTTGACCCAGATCAACTTGAAGATTCCCTCTAGAACTCTTCTAAAATTTAATGATTTTATGACTTAGACCTCATTGATAATGGGCTAATATTCATAATTAGATGCTAATGAAATATGATAGTTTGCTTTTTTTTTTCTCTCTGATAGGTACAGGTTGGATTTGAGAATCTCCTCTTTTTTCTCTTTGTTTTTTCAGAAACGGTTGTTTTTAGAAAACAGCCAAGGTGCATAGAGTGGATAAAGATAATTTTAGAATTTATAAATTATTTAACTAGTTAAATTATAAGGATTAAAAATGATTAATAAGTGGAATATCTAAATTTTAAAAACAAAGTTAAATAAACTAGTCTATTAGTTTGTCTTTGCCTGAAATAGACAAATAAAAATCACATTATCATACTTTATCTATGTAGAGAAGTTATGTAAAATGTAAGGAGAGAATGACTTTGAATTTACCTTCTGTAAAAGATGCCCTTACTTAGCATTCTTTTATCGTGATCCTTGAATGCAGTGCTTAAGCGGTAGGAAGCCCATTGGAGCAACTGTGAAACACCTGAATTAGAGGTAGTTAAGGGAAGTATCTGCAACAGCTGAAGCAAAAGGAACTTTTTTTCAGTTGAGAAAAGCAGCTTAGTTAAAACTATCTGAGCTCAGATGTCAATCATCCTCATGCAGGACAAGTGTGGGTGATACATGGAAAGGGTATTTTAAAATCTGTTCGAGGTTGCCAATCTGGAGGTTTGCCCAGAAAAAAAAAAAAAGGGCTTTAGAAAAATCATGAAGGAAACAAGTAAATTTTACCAAGTTTATGCAGACCTTGAGAGACATAAAAAGTAATTGGACAGAAGCCATCAGTAAGCAGATGAAGAGTTCATCATTAATAATTATGACAACAGTTGTTTTAACTGTCTTTTGTCTCATGTCTTTTGCAATGACTAAATAAGGATTAGTTTTGTGCAAAATCATAATGGAAAAAATACTTTCCTCATGTTTTTATGAGGCTAATTCTAGCTGAATCGAGATCATTTTTCAAACATGGCTATGTTGTCAAATAGAGGCTATACAACCACTTACTTTTTCTGTAGTCAGAAGAATTTCATTTTGAATGCTCAAGAAAATTACAAATATCAAATATCATATTCCTTTAAAATAAATATATGATTTACAACTTGAGTTTGCAAAATATTTAAGTGATATTAACTTATAATAATCCATCTTTTTATTATAAGCAATCTTTTTGTCAGCAAAGTGTTGTCAAGACGTTGGATTGAGATTATGGATAATAGTTATGCTCATTGGCTGTGTGCATTGTTGTCTTTTGCAATTAAAATTTTGCAAACAACAAATTTGAAATTTGTCAGTTCAATCATTGTGATTCATTCTAAATGAGATATTTTTAACAAAAATGTATCATATAGACATGCTAAACCATTTTCAGTAATATTGTAACAGCTTCAAAATGAGACACTGGTGTTAGAGAGAAGCATATGATCCTTTGGATCAGTGCCAGAGCACTATAGTTTTAATGTGTTGAATCACCCAAGTGATGACATGAATGATTAGATTTTATAATACCAGCCTAATTTGAAAAGAGACATTTTGTTTTCATAAACTTTACTAAAATTTCTCAACAGTTATAGAGAATGAAAATATAAAAAGTTTTTTAATAACATGTTTTTAACAAAAAAAGAACTTTATGTTGTAATGATGACTTTTATAGGTGTAAAATAGTTTTGAGTTAATGAAAGCACTCCAGATGGGATATAATTAACATATTTATTTCTGTAAAAAACATTTAATATTTAGTTATTAAAAGTGTCACATTCAAGAGCTAATAATTTAAGCTAGTAAATTCTAGCATCTCAAATTACAGTACTGTTTGACAACTGCCAGATCAACACGATAAGGTTATATGTGTTAAAAACTGAAAAATCAAAACATAAGGAACCCAGAACAATCAAAACAGAGTAAAATTCACTAAAGTTTTAATTGTACTCTTTTGGAATGTATTAGTATTGATGCTCATTTTATTTTACTTTTTGCCTTCTTATTTTTTTGTCCTTTATTTTAACTTTTAAAAACATTTATTTTTAGAACAATTTTAGATTTAGAGAAAATGAGAAGATGGTGCAGACAGTTCCCGTGTATGGCAGCTTCTTCCTTTGTTAACATCTTTTATTAGTATATCTGTTACAATTAACAGATCAACATCGATATTATATTAGCTAAATTCTAAATTTCATTTAGATCTTCTCAGTTTTTCCTTGGTGTTCTTTTTCTGATACAGAATCCAATTCTGGGTACCATATTTAGTTATGTCTTCTTAGGTTCTTTTTGGCCTAGGCAATTTCTCAGATTTTTTTTTTTTTTTTAAAGACCAACATTAACACTATCAGCTCATCCATTTTAGATCACTACTGACAGACAGCAGTTATTGCTACAGATTGTCAAAGAGGCTGTTCTTTTAAATTATATGGTGACACAGCTTGGAAGAAATTCTGACCAAATTTAAGAGATTCAGAGAAGCAATATTCAAAATAAAAGTGATATTTAAGAAAAGGGCATTACCCAGTAAAATGCTAAAAAGTTATCTCTTTTTCTTATATTTGACAAACACCTCTAAGCATAATATACTTTATTCTTTTTACAGTAAGTAGTATAGGACATAATTTGCTTTTGATGAAATCATATTTTGTGAAGTTTATAGTTAGTAATAGATTTATAGATAGTATATTATTACACTCGAAAACTGTAATGAAATCATTGTATAATTGGTGTTTAATGGCAATCATTAAGCAACTGCTGTTTCCAAGATTATAAACTCTGTTGGGACTGGGATGATATTTGACTTGTGAACCATAGCCTTGATATTAGTATAGGGCCTTATATCACAAGCAGCTCCTCAATAAGAACTTGTTGATTAATTGAATGACTGCATTGGCTCATAGCTAGTAAGTGGGTGGGAAGGGAATTCAAGCCAAGCTACTGACTTCATGCTCAGGGACTAATTTGAATTTGTAAGGGACAGAGTACAACCATCAAATTCATGAATATATTTCTCAGTGAATTCAAACATTACTATTGAATGAACACCATGTTTAGAGTGAGTAGCTTTTCTAAATCACTTGGTCATTGTTGCAGCAATATTTCATGGTTTGCTGTATATGGAAATGCTTTAAGTTTCAGTTTATACTGCATATCATGATCCTAGGCAGTTCATGAGTAGTGCTATTCATTCCATTTGCTGAGGAAAATTGAGATTTTTCCAGGAAAACTGGATTTTTCCACAGTAACCTTGGCTCTATATGAAAATGTCTGTCTTGTCCTAGAGAAAAAAGTTCTGGGTCAAGTATGAGCAACTTCAAACTCTGAAACTTCAGTTGACTAATTCTCTTTTTGATTCTGTATTTATACTAAACTATAGCAATCAAATGATGCATGTTTTGTTTTATTTTATTTTTTGGTTACTGGGGATTGAATTCAGGGGCACTCAAACACTGAGCCACATCAGCAGCCCTATTATTGTATTTTAGATAGAGACAGGGTCTCATTGAATTGCTTGGTGCCTCGGCTTTGCTGAGGCTGACTTTGAACTCTGGATCATCCTGCTCTAGTCTCCCAAGCCACTGGGATTAAAGGCATTCGCCATAGTGCCCGGCTGTGATGCATGTTTTATATCTTACAGTTCTGAGAACAATTCTATGAAATTAACATCTTAATTTCAGAGATAAGACAAATAAGTAAGACAGAGAAGAAATTTAAACTGAGGTCTTCTAAAATTAAATACCTAATTATCTAAGTGATTACTTCACAGAAAAATATACTAGTGTTTATTTCATAGCATATTATGAATATAAAATATGATGAAATTGCTGTGTAATGTGATCAGTAATCTAAAAATAATGTACAACACAGATTATTATTAGTGTCATTTAATATAGGCTTTGGAGAGCTACAATTGGAGAAAGACATTTTGAGTTGATACAAAATTATAAAAATATCAAAAATATCTAAATTATAAGAATACTGAAGAAATATTAGACTTAGATTTTATGACTTTATGAGTTATTGATTCATTAAATGTCATAATCTTTTCAAAACACAAGCATGAGTATTACTATATTAAACAGGAACATGTATGTGGAATTCTCTGTGGGTGTTTTGTGAGGCCTAGATAAACATTCTCATTCTAACCTGGAGCTGAGGAGTAGCCAGGCTGATATTGCCTTCTTAGAGCTTCCTCTGAGAAGGAAGGTCATTTGGACATAGTGTCATACTTGTGGTCCAGCGCTTAATTTTTTTTTCTATATATTTAGAAAACTAATACCAAAGAAAAAATCAGAATTAAAATTTCCAGTTTTCTTGGTAGCTAAAAGACAGCCATTTAACCATGTTTCCTCCACTATTTCTCTAATATTTTAACTCAGCAGGAAAATATCAGAGGGACCTGGCTTTCTGAGGAATTCATTCTTGGTGAATATGGCAGAGGTTGGCATAGACACTGAGCTGAGAAGCAAATATGATGAACTGCTGGTTCTAAGATGCTGTGCTCATGTTTTACAACACCTATTAGTGGTGTGGGTATTATTCCTGGTTGCATAATCCCAGTTTTCTTGTCTTCCTGAGACTTATGAGGGCTTGTGTGGGCTCTCTCTTGTCGGGAGAGGAGGCCCACGGAACAGGGTAGAGGAGAGCGTGGCTGTGGAGTCGCTATTCGAGACCTCCGGAGACCAAGCAGGAGGAAGCAGGTCTGATTTTATTGCACAGTTACCATGTGTGTATACTCAGGCAGTAGCTAAACAGATTATAGGCAGCCACCATGCAATTTCTGCTAACTGTCCTTGCAGTGACCAAACTAGTAGTGGGCCATGGAGCAACCACAGGGACTGGAACACCAGTCCTCATGCCCAGGGCTGTGCCTACAAGGTAAGTGGTTTGCTGCTTACGCTCCTAGCACAGGGGAGTGGCCTGTCACTCAGATGCCCTTAATGTATGCCATGTATGCAGTACTCCATGCACTTGTCCCCACAAGGGCTAGCTTTATTTAATAAATTCCTATTCTGTTTAACTTAGATTTTCATTCATAATAGTTAATATACAAAGCTGCACTGTATAAAAAGGGATTTTGTAGATGTGGATTAAGATTACAAACCTTGGGCTAGGGAGATAGCACAGTTGGTAGAATGCACAAGGCCCTGGGTTCAGTCCCCAGTACCACACTGAAAAAAAAAAAAAATTACAGACCTTGACATGAGGAAGTTATACTGGATTATCTAGGTGGACTGAATTCACTCTTGTAAATCTTTAATACTATTAAACTTTTCCTTTAATGAATCAGAGAGAGACAGGGAGACAGATGTAATAGAGAGGCAGGAAAGATTTTATGTGTGATAAAGATTCTTTCAGTTCTCTCCAGCTTTGATGATAATGATAGGGGATGAGGTGAGAGATAGGAGTTCCAGAAGCAGGGAACAGCCCTCAGCTGATAACCAGCAAGAAAACAGAGACCTCAGTGCTACCACTGAAAATAAATGAATTTTTCCATTAACCTGTATGATCACTAAAAAAAAACTCCCCTAGAGTCCATTTGTAGTGTTTAAAGCCATTAAATTTGTAGTTAGAAAGAAAAAAATTGAAGTTTAGAACAAATTCAGTAGTTCTTATACTAGGGTCTCCATAGAAATATTGTCCAACAATTATAGAAAACAAGGAAACCTGAACCAGCCTCTGGAGAAACTATGGGACATTTAATCAAATACATAGTCATAAAGTAAAAAGTCTAC